TTGTTGTTGTTGTTGTTGTTGTTGTTGTTGTTGTTGTTGTTGTTGTTTATTTTTTATTTGATGGGGGTCATGTCCCACCAACGAACTCGGGTACGTTGGACCGGCGCTGGTGACAGTGCTAGGACCCTCCAGCGGTTAAACATGTCCGCCCTTCTTGTCCCAAACACGACATGTCGGGACGACAATCGGACTGCTGAGAAAAGGCCAGGGGTGGTGCCAGGGGGATCAATGTGGGCATGGTAGTCCCATGGAGTGTGTGGGTGAAAACGGCCTGCGGGTACTCCCCTGCTGTTCGGACCAGACAGATCGAAACCACCGGTCAATTCTCAGGTTCCATGTGAGTTTGCCGGAGGGTATCTGAACATCATATGAATTACGCTTCCACCGGATCTGCACCCTCAAAAACAAGGGTGTTGAGGGCACAAAACACCTACAAACCCTTGTGAACTAGAGGGTTCGACCCCGACCACCGTGGAGGGTCTGGACGAGCGGATCCTTCCTTAGGGCACTAAGTCATCCTGATGGAAGTCGATGGCAGGGCCAAGAGTTCGGAGGACCCGGATTTGAAGTGTACATCCATGACGGATTCCAGGGTGTGAAGTGCTCCATGATACACCCCCTGGAACTAACATGGAACATAGGCCCCTGGAAGACCATTTTCCTCTACAAGGGGGTCCTGGTCAGCTTCCATGATTGTTGGAGGGAGGGTATTCCCTTCTCAGCTCCCAACTGTTTGGCCAATCTGCCAAGTCCCGTGGGTCATCTCTGGCAACCAACGCCAGCGGCCAGGTGTTGTGATCTTGAGAGGCCACATGTGGTGGCACTTCGGTCTTGAGCCCTCGGGGGGGCGGAAGGTCTGGTCTTCCCAGTTGGAAGGTCCAACTGTGCACTGGACACCGAAGAATATAGTCCCCAGACACGACCCATGGGACTGCCATAGGACTGCCGAGACTTCCGGCCAGGGGTGGTGCCAGGGGGGGGTCAATGGGTCGGCATATAGCAGTCCCATGGAGTGTCTGGGGTCTCGTTTTGGTCATGTTTGGTATATACATACGGACCCTACAAGTCGAAAGACCCATGCAGGTCCAAACCTGGTCCTTTACATCCTTAGGTGTTTTTGTACGACCACGTCCAGTGAAATGAGGTCATTGACCTGTAATGTGGCCCTCAGATTTACAACCCCCCCTAGAATAATGTATGTTTTTTTCCCTGCACTGATTTATAAAGGCCCCTAGAATAATGTATTTTTTGGGGGGGAGGGGTAGTTGTAGTGGAATATTTTTATTGTTATAGTTTACTTTTCCCTTTGGATTTGCTTTGCTCACCCTCTATTCCTTATTAACTTTTCCTAAGCTCTTAAAAGTTTCCAAAAGTCAGTGCGCACTTTCTTTATAAAATCCCTTATTCAAAAGTATTGAAAAACAAAAAAAATCATTCAAGCAAAGGGGGTAGTCCAGCAAGCAGCTTTCTGACATTATTTAGGGGGGGCCCTAGAATAATGTCTAGAGATTTGAGGCTTTAAATCTTTATTCCTTTTCTTTGCCTTTTGATTTGCTTTACTCACCCTCTATTCCTTATTTACTTTTCCTAAGCTCTTTAGTTTTGAAGCTTTCCAACAGTTTCCAAAAGTCAGCGCGCACTTTCTTTTCTGACATTATATAGAGGGGG